TTTCCCATCCCTCCTGTGGCTGTTCCTGGCTGTTCCCAGCTCTTTCCTTTCCCATCCATCCTGTGGTTGCTCCTGGCTGTTCCAGGCCCCAGGCCCCTCCTGCAGGGCTCTGCCCCCCCGTCTGTGTCCCCCTGAGGTGCCCCCAACCCTCCTGTCCCCCCCAGGGCCGCCGCCATGAGGCAGTGCTTCTACAACGAGACCGTGGGCTTCTTCTACAACAACTCCCGCAAGGAGCTGACCACGTACTGGCGCACCAAGGACGTGCTGGTGGTGGCCCTGGGCCTGACCGTGAGCGTCATCGTGCTGCTGACCAACCTGCTGGTCATCACGGCCATCGTCATCAACCGCCGCTTCCACTACCCCATCTACTACCTGCTGGGCAACCTGGCGGCCGCCGACCTGTTCGCGGGCATCGCCTACATGTTCCTCATGTTCCACACGGGCCCCCGCACGGCCGAGCTGTCCCTCAAGACCTGGTTCATCCGGCAGAGCCTGCTGGACACCAGCCTGACGGCCTCGGTGGTGAACCTGCTGGCCATCGCCGTGGAGCGGCACCAGACGGTGTTCACCATGCAGCTGCACAGCAAGATGTCCAACCAGCGCGTCACCATCCTCATCTTCTGCATCTGGGTCACGGCGCTGCTGCTGGGGCTCATCCCCTCCTACGGCTGGCACTGCCTCTGCGCCCTGGACAAGTGCTCCAGCATGGCCCCCCTCTACAGCAGGAGCTACCTGACCTTCTGGGCCATCTCCAACCTCGTCATCTTCCTCATCATGGTGGTGGTGTACACGCACATCTTCATCTACGTCAAGAGGAAGATGACCAGGATGTCCAAGCACACCAGCTTCCACCCCCGCTACAAGGAGACCATGATCAGCCTGGTCAAGACGGTCACCATCATCCTGAGTGAGTCCACGGGCTCTGATCAGTCCAGAGGATGCTCTGGTCCCCCACCCTGGGCTCTGTGGGGTGGGGAGGTGACATTCCCTGGTGTCTGGAGCTCTGGGGTTGTGGGTTGGGTGGCGGTTTGGGTTGGGTGCTGAGGAACTCAACAGTTTCAGGATGTGGATTTACTTAGTCCGCGTGCTCAGCTCAATCCAAAGGATGTTTTAATCCTCCCCCCTGGGCTCTGTGGGGTGGGGAGGTGACAACAGGGAAGTGAGGGAA